CCTTTGAAGAAGACAAGTAATAATAAGTATGAGTCTTGAGTTATTTTTATTTTTATTTATTTGGAGGCAAAAAGTTAAGGGGCTGTACTAAAACAGCTAAGCTGAAGACCAAAGCATCTATACATGCAACAACAAATACCAGCTCATCTCTTTCTCTCACCTAACTCCTTTCATCATATCTACTGTGTGTTTCTATGTGTGTGTTTTGTGTGTGTAATGTGTGTGTGTGTGTGTGTGTGTGGTCCATTGAACATGCAATGAAAAACCAATAATTCATATTTTTGCATCTCTCTGCAACTTTTTCCTAGTTTTTATGTGTGTGTGTGTGTGCGCAATTTGTATCAAAGCTTGAACACAGCAAAATATCAGAGGAGATGGGCAAATTAATCAAGAAGTTGACTGAAAAAAGTACATCAAATACCGAAAAACCGAAAGAAAAAAGAAATGGTTCCAAATTACAAATTACAAATCACTTCGAAGAATGAAAGCGGCAAATTGATCGAATCGAATGTCATTTCTTATTTTTAAATGAGCAACACAACACCAATGTACAAAAAACCCAAACTTTTTCTTCATCGAAATCGCCAAAGAATAGCTTCGTTTTTAATCAAAACGAGAAGAAGAAAAAAGGGCTCTCTTTCACTCACCTTTCTTGGACTTTCCTCGTATTTAAACGGGCCCTGTTTTCAAGAAACAGACTTTAGCAAGTCCAAGAAGAGGATCTCTTAATAACGGGCTTCATTTGCTTGTCCTCTTCGAGAGAGATCATTCCTAAATGCGAAGGATCTTCCAACAGCATCTTTGCGACGAGATATCCAGCAATTGACCATGTCTGATATTTCCTAGCTTGTTTACCTATGTATCTGCCCGATTTTCCGTCGTAGTATTCGGGCCAACCGTCCTTGAGCAAACGGCTTTCTGCAAGATCGATCGCTCGTCTCGCTATTTGAGGGCGCCCCGTTTTTATGCATGCAGCTGTTAGCAGCCACAAAAGAACTGTGCTCCACATGCACCAAGAATGTAGCAATACAATGTGAGTCAATAGTGGAAAAGTCAAATTATATTATGAGTTTATTGCATGTCGCTACCCCTTTGTTTTATCGAATTGCTAAAAACACACCCATGTTATATTATTGGCGAAACTCCCCCTTATAATGCTTTTCTTTAGCACATAACTCCTTTAGCGAGTTTTTAGGGGTAGTTTGCTAAAAAGTTGAATCATAGGGGTTTCTTTCCAAATAAAATAACACGGAGGTGCCTACTTTTTTTAGCGCACAACCCCCTAAATAGTGAGTTCATACGGGGTAATTTGCTAAAAAAGAATTGATCACAGGGGGATTTTTTGCAAATAAAATGAAACGGGTACGTTGTTTTCCAGCACACAAGCTGCTAAGTAGTGAGTTTTTAGGGGATAGTTTGCTAAAAAAAATTGAATAAATGAGGGGGGGGGGGGGGTGGGGGGGTGTTTCCAAAATAAAATAACATGTGTCAATAGTGGTCGAAAAAGAGATGTTTATGGAAAGCAATAACACATACTCTTGTTTTCGACTAATAATAAAGGGGATCAAAAAACCGGAAAACAAATATTATTCGTATAGAAAGAAACAAAAAAAGAGAGAAGAGAATCGGTATAAGAACCTGGCCAAGATCCCCCGTTATGATAGCTCCATCTCGTATTCTTCGGGTCACATCCAGTAACAATGCGCCACTCGTGACTTTCGATAGCTGGATAACTTATTTTGAGCGGCATTTCTCCGACAAGCTCCTCCCACCTTTCTTCGAACAAGTCCATAATCGCAGAAGCTTGCTCGGGAGTGGCCAAAGAAGACAATATGGCAACGCAATTGCCCAAAGCAAACCACCGAAAATCCATTCTTGCAGGGCTGACATTTCCGATGAAGTAGCCGCCGTGTGTCGGCATGAAATCGAACACCCAATCAGGGATCGAATCGGGGATCACGTTGAATTTGTTGACAGCTGTGTGGGAATATTCTTCAGTTTTGTATTGGTATATGTCGTTTAGTTGTTGAAAATCGAGCCAGAAGTAACTCCTCATGTGGTAGCTCAAGGCATGCAAACGCTTCACTATTCTCTCGATGAACTCTTTGCCTTCTGCGTCGTGCTTCAACAGTACCAAGGCACACCTCAATGCCATAAAGAAGAGTGCTTGAATCTCGATCGGGTAGCCGTATATTCCCTGTCAAAAAAAATCGGATTCAAATTTTAACATATTGCATTTATCAAAGGGAAATTCGAAGAACTCATCACCAATGCATATACATGCAAAATGGTGCGCAAAAAAGTCGACAGCACTCCTGATTTTGCAGTTGAGCAAGTTAAAGAAGTCACTCGTAAAAGCAAAACTATATCGAGACATTGTGCATTCAAGATTCAAGAAAGTTATATAAGGGTTCTCACCATTCTACGATCAATCATCGAGCAGCCATCAGCACACAGCAAAGTCGGAAATGTGTCGAAACCCTCAGAAAGACACAAGGCCAGAATAAGTCTCATTCCCTTTTGGCACTCAGGCGTTTCAGCCAAAGAATGGTCTCCCGTTGACTTTGTATACGCACGGAGAAGAATTATCCACCAGAATCCGGAATCTACCGGGGCCACTCTCCCAATTGCACTCTCTCCAAAATCGGCTATCACGGAATCCGTCTTTCGAACTGGATCGTGAAGTACTTTGAAACTAGCTGGCATAGCACCCTCACCGAGCTTGAATCTATCTATTCTCTTCTCCCACCCTTGTAGCTGAAGCGTTTTCAATAGGAAATGCTTAACTATATCCGGTTCACCGTTCATTAAAAATGCCAGCGCACTCGGTACAAAATCTCGAACAAAAACCTGCAAACAAACCCCATGTAAAATTTACAATAAATTAAACTCAACTCCAGCAATTATTCGAACCAATACAAATCTATTCTTGGAGAAATTTACCTGATCGTAATTTAAGACCTCCTCCGAAGCATGATCATAAGCAGCGATTGTACCAACTGGTTGGCCTCGAAAGTACACCAAAGATCTCCGAAGGGCTTCCCAAGCATCCGCAACCATTGGATGAGGCTCGAAGGAATTACGAGCTGACGAGGCGGGTGTGTCCAATCCCGAGCGTCCGGGCGAGTAGGCACTTTCGTAATTATCTAAACCTCTTGATATACCAATTGATAACTCGCTGAGTGATCTCTCGTCGAATGATCTCTGCCTCTCTATGTTTAATCTTGGCTTAATAAAAAAGCATAACGAGATCGAAGTCGTCCATCTCGGATATTGAGCAGTGGGAACTCACGTTTTTAAGTCCACTCTCTTTTGAACCATCTGTTCCCCCCTTGATTCCATCGAGGAAAACCTTACCACTGTCCATAATCTGTTTCAACTTTTAAATCGAGTATGCTCTGATAACCGGAAAAAAAAAATTAAAAAAAAAATCACTATCAGACCAAAATACGACATGGGCATATGCAACACCATAAGTCAGATATATACAATGTCTGATCTAAACGATGTAAGTCTACAGAGAACTCGGTTGTCCTAATAAAACAACGTATACACAAGTCAAGATCGAGATAAAATAATAACCACACAGATTGGAGACCCCTTAGACAACATATATACAATGTCAGATCTAACATGATATTAATAAACATAAAAAGACATGTATACGAGGATATCATAATAAACATATGTATTGACAAATGTATTCAATGTACAAATCTACTATGTGTCTAAAATCAACATAATAAACCAGGATACTCTACAATGAAACCAAGAAAGAGAGAGAGAGAGAGAGAGAGAGAGAGAGAGAGAGAGAGAGAGAAGGGGGGGGGGGGGGGGGGAGGTTACAAATGAATACAGAAGGTCAGACCTTAAATCTCACTATGCCTAAAACATACAGTCAAAAACAAAATGAAGACAAGGAAGAAATTGGTGGCAAATGTAATAACCTAAAAGGTAAACTGATTATAATCCATATCGTACAATCTTATCTTATCCATTACAACGATGAATTAAGAAAACAGACGAAAAAAGGTCCAATCTTTGCTACCAATCCACATCCTTATCCATGTGAAAAGATGAGTAATTAGTAAATTAATGGGCAATTAAATTAAATTGTAGAAATGGCAACCAATTGACCTTGGAAAGATTTAGAGCATCGTCTCAAAAATAACTAGTCCTGGTTATACATAAGTCTACCTTAAAAAGATGGCAACTTTATGTACAAGTATTTTCTATATGAGAAAAATCTGAAATCCCACCTACCATTTGTACTAGGAAATATTTAGGTAAGAAAAATCTTTTCCAAAATTAAAATGAACAAAGACTTAAACCCCACGCTAAATTACATATTCCAAATAGAGCTCAAAATCTTGATTACAGAGCTAAGAAGAAAAAATTGAAACTAGATAAACCCTAAAGATTGAATTTTTTTTTTTTTCGAACTGTAGAAAGAAGATTAACAACCCACATTTGCGAAATTCAAAATAAACAACACCACATAGTTAGCAAGATCCACTTTGAAACAGCTGGGAAAATCGAAAAAAAAAATTAAAAAAAAAAGTTGTTGAAAAAAGAATTAACTATTTAGAAAAAAGGGTCTCTGTAAAAAGTCTACAATCAGTAAAAGAGGCAGCAGATCTAAATATTTATGTTATAAATCAGAAATCAAGAAAATCAGATACAAAAAGAAAGAGATAGGAAACCTTGAAGAAATATTTGGGAAGAGAGAATATAGGGGGGGTGATACCCAAGCCGGAGGGGGGCGGCGGCCGGCGAGATTGCCGGGGGAAAACAAGAGAGAGAAAGGGGGGGTGAATTTGGAGAAGAGAGGAAAAAGGATCATGTTGGCGGAGCTTTGAATTTATAGACCCGAAAACAACCAACCAACAAGAGAAAGAAAGTGTGTGACTGTGAGAACGAGACTGTGTGAAGTGTGTGAGAGAGAAAAAGGAAAATAATAATATAATATTAGACGGGCTTTTCTTTGCCTTTTGGACCGTCACTATCTAGTATTGACGTTTTAATTTTATACGTATTTTATTACAAGATACTTACCGGCAATTGCCGGTTATTTGTCGCCCTCAATTGAAAGGTTTATTTTATCTAAATTTATTTTTCTTCATTTATTTTGTATTGGAAAAAAATATTTAATTGATGGATATGCCTTGTAATAAAAGTCAAATGTATTTACGAAAAATGGGCGAATGTAGTATTTGCCCATATCATTTTCTATTTTGATACCTTTTAATACTTATGAGACACACTTACATTAATTATTTTATGTTATATTTATTACTACTAAAAAAATATACTTCATGGTGCATCACAAAATGATATAAGTAATTTAATTCATCCGAAGTATAATGTCGTAAACGCCATAACAAACTAATTCAATAGATATAAATTGTATTTAAAAATTGTTTTGTATAATGTATATGGTATAACTACAAAAACTAACTAGTTATTGTTAAGAGTCCTTTAATTAAACTCGTTTTAAGCAATTGATAAGTTCTTATGTGTACTAAGTTGTTTTAAACGATGGTAAGCTTTTAAATATTTTATAACATCTCCAACAACTTATTTTAAGAATTTTTAATATTTTTTTAAAAACATAGGAAACACTTTGAAATAACTTATAAGATGTTTACATCTTATAAGCACTTTTTACCGACTTATAAGTTAGCCAAAAACCATGTTAATATTTTTTTCATCAACAAATTCATTTTATTATTCCGATAAGATAGGATATTTTATTCTTTCGCGCACGGATAAAAAGATTGTCGATAAAGAAATTTTTATCGAACAAGTGCACAAATTAGAAACTTTATCTAACACGAATATATATATCAAAAAAAAAAAAAAAAATGAAAGAAAAAAAAATAAAGAATCACGAATATTAAGCTAGGGTTTCAGCTTTGAACATGGTGGGCTACCGATTTGACCGGTAAAACCAGCTCAGCAAACAATTTAAAAAAAAAGCATAAAAGAGAAATAAGTGCGTACGGCCAAGGAAAGTACATAGAAGGAGCGAGAATAACAATTAACAAGCACGAGGAAATTAGCCTGTGGTTCACGTGGAGCAAAACGACACCGTTTCTGTGCAAACGACACCGTTCTGTGCAATGCCCTACTAGAAAGAAACTGCTTTTATTTGGCCAGTAGCAGTACACCGGAGGATCTGTTTGGATCACTGTTTTTTTCTTTTTCTTTTTTCGATTTTTTCTCTAATTTTAAATCTTTTTTTAATTAATTATCAATCAAAAAAACTTTTTTTAATTAGTATTTTATTAAATGCCTCTCACTTTGTAGTTTCTGGCTCTTGAATATCACCTTGGGGCTTCTTCACTGTTGCCAAACGACGCTCATAATTTATATAATTAATTTGATTTTTTTAAATTTTCTTTAATATTTATTCTGTATTACATTTCAAAAATTGTTGCATTTATCGGAATAATGATATAATTGGGAAGCAAATAAAATATAAATCGTGCAGAATAAAAAAAGCCCAAAATAATGTGAGTGATAAAGAAATGGAATTAAATATCTTGTGATTTATTATCATTTGACTAAAGCCACGCGCGGTAGGTGAACAATTGATGGAATTGAAGCACGTGGTAAATAAAATTAGTCTCTTTAATAATCTGGCATTCATAAATGATATAACCACTTAGGAACAACTTTTGAGTTTTGACTATAAATTTAATTAATCTACATTAAAATGACTTAAATTCAGCCCGACTTATTAAAAAATAGTTCGACTCAAATATAACAGGTTGGGCCATCGGGCTTCAATTAGGCCTGTACTTAGTAATTTTAATTTTAATAATTATTTCTAATTTGTTTAATTAAGCGTGTTTTTCGTGTGACGAAGGGCAGCATGCATCACGAGTTGTACGTCACGTTATTTATAATTATTATTATTATTATCATTATATATAACACACTGTGGAAGTGGACCATTCAAGGAGCCCTAGTGGAGTGGTCATAAACCAAAACAAAATTTGACAAGTCATTTTCTTGCTATTTTGACCTGTTTTTATTGGATGGTTTTACAAATTTTAATATTGTTTACAATTTAAAGTATTATTTTCTCTTTAAAATAATAAATAAATAAATAAAAATATTGTGGGGGCAGCATTTATACTTGCTGTCTGCAATCTATGACGAGATAAGATTTGCACTAACGAATAGGGTTGATTTTTGGGGACCCCTTTAATCTAATCTAAAATAAAATATAAAATATACTTTATTATTAAACTTAAAATATACCTTTTCTATTAATTATATTGTATTATTACTTCAATATGTGGGGAAGGTGGCATGTTATATACCATGCGTTACATAATGATGAATAAACTACTAACCTAGATATATTTATTGAATATTATTAATATTAAGAGGGGTTTGGTTAAGTTTATAAATTGTTTAAATAATATTATAAGGTGTTTAAGAATTTATATGTTTTTTCCAAGTGTTTTGTAATTTTTTTAAAAAGTATCTTGGAATTTTGAAAAATAAGTTGGTAGAGAGCAAATAAGATCTTATTTAAGTTCTTATAACGAGCAAAAAAAAGAGCTTATAAGCTCATTATCCGAATTCAAAACACTTTTAAAATTAATTTTAAAAACAAGACGTAACGGTTTATCAGTTGTTACAACAGCTTATCAAACATAAGAACTTATCAGTTATTAAATATAAGTTTAGCCAAATTGCACTACCGACTCATTTTTTTTATTAAGTTGGTCATTCAACATAATATTAGAGTCAGATTAAATGAACGATTATGAGTTCGCATTATCACTCATTTTGAATATCCATATATCAATTTATTTAATTCACAATTATATAAATACATCAAATAATTAATGAAAAACCAAAATCCAAAAACCGACCAATGGGTCCTGAAAATCTCCAGAGAACAAGAGAAAACGAATAATTTAAATAATAAATATTTGTGTTTGGCAACAATATAATGAAGTGGAGATCTTATCCAATGTTGAAGGTATGACCATAAATAGGGTTTTAATGAAAAATAAGGGCTATGTTTGGTAAGCTTTTGGGCTTCCGTTTCCATTTTATTTTGGAGAAAGGTGTTTTGGGAGAATAATTTAAAAATAAAATAAAGTTTGTTTGTGTTTTGAGAGGAGACAATTTGTACTGTAGCAAGTCAAATCATGTCTGAAAGGTGTTATTTTGGAAGAAGAATTTAAAAGATAAAGTGATTTGATTTTGTAATTTAGTGAATACAATTTTCACTGTAGCGGTCAAATCATGTTTGTTAGAGAGCGAAATATTTGAATTTGTTTTGGAGAAAGTTTTTGAAAATAGTGTAGAAAGATAATTTTCATTTTCGGGAAAATGTGAAAAGAATTCGAAAACGTTACCAAACATAGCCAAGGTTTTTGGACATTTCAAAACAAAAAAAAAAAAAAAAAAAATAGATACTATGATAGTGATTTTGCTTTCAATATATTTTTCTAGGTCACTTTCATGGTAGATTTCTGGAAATACACACACTTATATATTATATGGAAATATAATTTGAAGTTGGCCGGATACACACACACCATATATATATATATATATAAATTTAAACAAAAGGAATAAATTTTGAATCTGAAATGTTAAATGTCGTTTCAATGTTACTAATATCGTTTTTAACTTCGAACCTGATTTTGACATATTTTTATTTTGATTTTGGTAAAATTCGAAACACGAAAACTGTAGTCCCGCAGCCAACCATATAGGTGCACTGGGAACCTGATTTTGACATATTTTTATTTTGATTTTGGTAAAATTCGAAACACGAAAACTGTAGTCCCGCAGCCAACCATATAGGTGCACTGGGTAAACCTACACTCTCGTATAATAGCTTGCAAACCATACGAGAGATGTAAACCACACTAGGCTAACCATGTGTGACAAGCTCGACCTAGCGACCGTTGGCAAGAGGATTCGAACTTGGGTCAATTGACACAAGCTCTCTTGCTCCAACCGCTAGGCCATCCCGTGAGGGACAAGATAATTTACTTTCGTTTGTGCACATGGGGGTATTATTGGATATTTATCGGACCTAGACTTTTCATCTCCTATATGCAACTATGGAGCCTTAAATGGGCTGAATATGTTTAGGCCCAATTATCCAGCCTTTAAACCTGACCCGACTCTTCCAAACGGGTTACTTGTCCGGTTCCCCCCTTTTCGTCTTCGAATTTGCCTAAACCCTAATTATAAAATAGAATTAGGAAGATTCCTTTGCCCTAAACGCTGATAGTTAGGAGGAATCCTATTCCCCGATCTGTTTCATTATTGTAATTCGACTGCTGTTCGTCGTGCAGCAAAAATCTATCTCCAGGTTATATATATGATGGGAGATTTATCCGCAAAGAATGGTTTTTTCCGGAGAAGCAGACCGGATGTGGTCGGAAAAGTTGAATGGTTAGGGCAAGTTAGGATTAACGGGAAGCTATTTGTTGCAAGAAGGGGTTTTGGTTTGGGAATCGTGGCTGATGAAGTTAATAAACCTGGGTTGTGGGAAATTGCTGGCGGTTTAATAAAAGGCCCTGGAGCTGGAGAATTTGGGGGAATTTGGGAAATTAGGGTTTCAATCTGGACCAAATTGGATCATGCTGTCAATACCTTGAAGATATGGTACAGAATCTACAAAGACATGTGGATAGTATTGATGGAAATCGATCGATGCCACATGAGAATTATCGAGGTGAAGAAAACTTGGGCGAGAGATCCGAACAATGTAATAGCACGTCAAGCGATTCAGAATTTATTGGAGGATTCGTCCGCTTACCTCGTAACCATAGGTATTGTACACGTTACACCCGATTTTATACGCCAGACGATTTTGCCGTGACGCGTTTCCATTCAAGACATTTAGTATTTATTTTATTTTCTTTTCGGTTTTTTTTTTTTTGTTTTTTTTGTTTATAGTTTTTGAGTAGACACTGTTCTTGCAATTAACATGGCTAAAAAGATGAGAGTTTGTTTGAATAAGTAGCCATTGTTTTACGAGTAGGTACATTTACAAAAATGAGAAATCGACTTTCTTTTACGAGTATACGTGGAAGAAAAAAAAAAGTAGGAAGATCATATCCAAATGCTAACAAAGGCTTCTTCGAGTGCCCGTTTCTTGGTCATCTCTAAACTAAATCCACCTGCCATTGCAGCCTTTTCGGCTCGGAGTTTCATGGTTTCTTCGTCTTGAGACCAAGCATGTCTGAACCAGGCCCAAGAGGGAGTGGTTGTTGGCCAATCGAATCGAACTCCGAGCTCCTATTTCCTACTACATACCGGGTTTTCGGACCTTTCAATAAAATCAAGTAAAACCCTAGTATTATTAATTATCACACAAAACTCTACATCAAACACCCCCTCATTAATCAAATCAACCTAATTCCTGAGTAATTAGAAAAGAGAAGAAAAAGTTCAACATCAATATGCAGTGATGATGGTGATTATTATTATTATTATTATTATTATTATTATTATTATTATTATTATTATTATTATTATTATTATTATTATTATAATGTTTGGGCCAGCTCTCCTGTCTTAAGGTTATTAAATGGCCCGGCCTAGCCCAAATAAATTGTTATTAAAAAGTATTTTATAAATGATATTTGATTAAAAAAAATATTATATATAGCTAATTTTGACAAATAATAATAAAACAATATTATAGAAAAGAAATATTTTGTTAATCCATTCCTACTACTCAATTTCTTCTGTAACAGAATACAGGTACTGAATATTCTAATATTAAAGCTTTCTTTCTACTCATCACCCCTTTTCTGCACACACACACACACACACACACCAGAGGAAAAACTTGGAAGAATTTCTTTCTCGTCATCAATGGCGGACAGACTCAATATCATTCTCAAGAGCTCGCGAGAGATCACGCCTTCCGTTACGCCGGAAGCTGTTTGGAGAGCGGCGAAGCCGGAAAGCACAGCCGACGTCGAAATCCCGGAGGACGTCAACAGTTTCAGCCGGGAAGCCATTATCGCCAAATTGGACGGGAACCCCAATTACTTCGTCCGCAATCAATACGAGCGGCTCAGGATTTTACCCAGATCGCCGGATGTTGGGATTGTTCGAATTGATGGCATAACCCAGGTCGTACGCTTGGAATTAGGGCTAGCAGCATTGTTGATCGAAAGCCCTATCGATTTGGAAACAGCATACCTAAATGCTGCTCAACAGGAAGAAGACGATTCACAGAACAATGAAGATGAACTTAATGGAAACTTGAATGATGGGGTTGGAGATGGACCAGAGGTCCAGGCGATTCAACAAGATCCAATCGAAGAAGATCTAATCGATGAAGCTGCAGCTCCTGGTTGGAATTTTGGGGCTCTATGTTCTGTTGCTGGACAAGGGGTTATCATTCTTGAACGTATATGGGTATTGGATAGGTATTTTAAGGTGGCGAAGCATTTTCGGAATCAATGGGTCTCCTACTTTGAGGGCGGAGCGTAAGAGTAAAGGTATGCAATTTGTACCGAAGCTCGTTTTTTTCTGTTTTCGCAGTGGCATGTTCTATCTACCTATCTACCAGTGGTTTGTTATTTAGTCTTGAATTGCCTTGCTTGTTAAACCCTGTTTATAAGCATTGTTGTTGTGAATCTTGTGAATTTTTTGCCCTTAGAGATATGATCGTATCAATGGTTTAATTCATCTTGAACTGCCTTGCATGAATGAATATTAATGGGCTTTCGGAGGTGTTCATTCGTAATATGACATCTCGCATTGGTAATGTAATCAAGAACATTCAATACCGTTGATTCGGACCTCTTTGTGAACAATAAAGAACCAATCAAGACAGCGAAAAATAGTTTATATGATGAATCTCCCATTTTTTTTTCGGGAATTAGAAGAAGGTATGTGAAGAAAAATATTTTGATGATTGTTTAACTGAGAAGTGAGATAGTATGTGTATTTGGAATTGTTGTTGTTGTCGAAGTTATGTGTGTCCCTACAGAGTTACTATCTTACATGAGTTTATCGTAAAATCTAATCCAAGAAAATTAAATTAAAATACCTATTAATTTGTTTTTTGTTATATGTATGTGTTGTTATTTTCGCTATTCTGAACTTTCTGAATTATTGTTTTTGTATATATTCGAGAGTTTTATTGTTTTAAGGGGTTCTGTGGAAGCAAATTACGAGTTAGAAGCAATATTTCGTTTGCTTTTTGGATTAATAAATTTACAATATATCTCTAATAACTGTCGCACTAGGATTTTAATGTGCGAATTACTAAATCTTAGAAGGCGGTGAATAAATAACATCTTATATAGTTATTCTGTCAATAGTTTATTTTAATCTTGAATTGTACTTGCATGAATATTTAACTATCCAAGGTGGCCAGTTATAAACTCTGTTTAGCATTTTCTTTTTTTCGAGTCTTGTGGGAGATCATTTTGACGAGCTGCTGCTGCGTGTTGTATCGATAGTTTATTTAATGTCGAACTGCCTTGCATGAAATTTATCAACAATATTTAGCATTGTTGCGAGTCTTGTCACAAATTGCGTGGGAGAAATAATATTGTGATTATTACTCTAGTGATTTCCTTAATTGTGTGGAAAATATTTAGGAATCATTACATGACATTTTATTTTCTTGAAATTACGTTTGCAGACAACTTATTAACGCTGAACGAAAACTGTGATTATTATTACTCTAGTGAAGTCCTTTATTGTGTGGGAAGTATTTAGGAATCATTACATGACAAATTTTTTTTTTTTTTTTTATTTTTTTTTTCCGTAAAACAGGCTTGAAGACAACTAACTGCTGAATGGAAACTTGAAGATACTCGATCGAGTGCAACATATTATTTTCTTTTATTGTCTATAGTTACTAAGACGACATTTCCATCACATCTTGTATAAAACTAGCTTCAACAAGTTTTTACCTTTTTGTCGGGGTTTAATTTTTGCATGCCCCTTGCTTACATTAGTTGCATCGAATGGGTATAATCGATTCGATTGTGATTGCCTTGGGATTATTTTGGTTATAAGATTGGATTGATTTAAAAAGGATTGATTAAGTGGGATTTCTGTTCATGTATTAAATTCAGTTTTTTTTCTAGCAAAGATATATCTCTAGCTAAAAGATATGATTCTGATGAATTTGCAAATAGCTAAGACGGAAAGCTGGAAAGGGGAGGCTCGATTCTTGAATAACGTGTATTCGAAAGAATCTGCTGATTGCATCAGACAACACGTACACGATTCTTGGTCTGATGAAAAGGCGTGGTTCTCGTGCTTCATTAATTCAAGCATAGCCGTACCTGAATGCATGGTGTGCTTCCAAGAAGAGCATGCATATAAGATATAATTTTGCTTGATGTTCATTTGATTGAGAGTGAATTTGGGGTGTTTGTGTATACTAAAAAAGATGCAACTTTTGAGCTTATAATTAGTTGGTATGTATATGTATGTGGATAAATAAAAGATAGTTAATTATAATAATGATAGCAAATAAATAAATAATAATTAAAAAAAAATGAAAATAAAAATAAAAACAAGAAAGGCACAATATCTTCAAAAAAATTTAAATCAGAAACAATAAAAATAAGAATTAAAGATTAAAAAAAGTAAGAAGTTTGAAAGACATAAAAATTAAAAATAATTAATAATAATCGAATATTATAAATAATTAACAAAACATTATTATAAATAACTTAATAAAAATATACTATTAAAAAATTAAAAATATGCAAAATAAATAAAATTAAAAAACTTGAAAAAATATAATTGTTTAGATGATATATAAATAAATAAATAAAGTAATTAAAAAAAAAACTATTACAATAAGTAAGGGTAATTCTGTAACTATGACGAATTGTAGAAGAAAAAATATGTTTTCTCCACTGAATAATTAATTAATTTGCTGAGTTTATGAAGAATTCTGATAATTTTGTAAAAGACAAGAAAAATATGCTAATCCAACAAGAGAAGAACAATTCTTACTGCTAAAGGATTGGATTACCTGCAGTTGTCTATTTTCTCCTTCTCGTTTGGTTTTTTTGTTCTCCAATTTTTCCTAAGCTCTAATTAGAAAATAGATTTCGGATTCCTTTGCCGGAAACCCTAATTCGGAATAAAATTGGGATTCCTTTGTTTGTTCTTACAGCAGGAGCAATCAATGATTCGTTCTTCGCGCGTAGCTTTCGCCTTGGTAACTCTATCTTCTGCAATTGCTGTTTTCTCTTTATTAACGAAAAAACCCCTTCCCAAGAAAAAGAAGCCATCTTTGCAATGCCACATCGAGAAAAATCCATCCTTTTCATGTATGATGATTAACCTACTTCTTTTTTTTTTTTTTGGAATTGGGGAATGCTATTTTTTGTTTATTTATTAATTGTTAGCAATCCTTTTGTTAATGTTTAGGTGCAGCAGCAGAGAAAAAGGACATCATTAGTCAACTACCGGATGATATTTTGATTTCGATTATCGCACATATGCCGGTAAAATGTGCCGTTAGTACAAGCGTGTTGTCGAAGAGGTGGAGGAATCTGCACAGATGTGTGTCCGATATCGCATTCGACTGTCGCTACCTTTTAGGACATCAAATTGATCCTTACAAGCTTCATGAATCTAATCTAATCATTGAATCAGTGAATAGATTTCTATGGCTTCGTTCGGGTTCGAAGATCCATTCTTTCCGCTTATCTTGTTGTTTTTATAAATTAAGCATTTATCAATTTAATCACTGCATTTATTCATTAGGAAGATTGGGCGTCGAGAAACTTTTTCTACGCTGCGGTTGTTATTTGGGTTCTAGTGATTTTTCCTTTTCGTTAGACCTTCTGTCGGAAATACCCTCCTTGAAATATTTCGAATTGAGCTTGTGCTCGTTGCCGCCAAGCTTGACTAAACAATGCAACTCCCTCCAAGATCTTTGCCTTTCTTATGTTAACGTATGTCCCGGTGCTATAGAGTGTATTTTGTCCAAATGTTCGAGGCTTATCTCGTTTCGAATGGGTAATTGCAAATCTCCTCCTAACTTATGCTTCCGTGGGCCCCACCTCCAATTGAAGTATCTCTATATAAATGACTGTGAAGGTGTAAAGGAGATTGAGTTCTATGCCAGTAATCTCGTCTCGTTTGAGTTTGCGAATCCTGAATTGGTCAAGTTTATATTCGATCACGTACCTCAACTGCAGAGTATATATCTTAATGTATTCAAAGAAAATATCGTGCCTTACGTTGGTGGGAAACTTGCATTAGATTTGCCTCGCCTGAAATCGTTGACTTTTGTTTCTAGAGGTGATTATTTTCAGGTACGAGGAAAAAGGGTCGTCTCCTCTCTCTATTTCTTTTTCTCTTTCGTTTGTACACTTTTTGCTATACGAGTTTCTTAACTTTGAGTTTCTTGATTCTTAGGGAAGCATCGGATATATGGGGACTAACATATTCCGGAACCTTAGGCGATTAGATCTCAGTCTATATAACATACCGCAAATGGATCTTCTTTTGCTGACTCAACTTTTGCAAAGTTGTTCTCTTGTACAAGAATTTCACTTGAATGTAAGTCCATTAAGATAATTTCTTTGATATTTTTATTAGAATAAATGCCGGAAAAGTTTACCGTGTACTACTTTGTTTCCATTTTTTTTTTTTTTGTAAATACTTAAAGATCGGCTTTGGTTTTGGTTGCAGACAAACTTTTTGGAGTATAATGCACCACAAGAGAAAAAGCGGGCCATATTATTTCACTCGGAGCTGAAGGAAATGGAAATTAGTGGATTTGTTGGGACAGAAAACGAGATTGAATTTGCATTATACATCCTCAAAAGTGCAATCTCCTTGGAGAAAATGCAGATAAATAGGTGTTGTAAGATATACGAGGGATCTAACAGGTGGAGGCGAAGATACGAAACTCCATGGAGTGAAGACGAGCGTAATTCGATTCACATGAAGTTACAAGGACAAGCTGTTTCCAAAACCGCACAAGTCTTTATTCAGCACAAGCCCCGTTTTGAAGATTAGTTTTACTCCCCGGTCCATGTTTTAAGATTGATCCGTGTTTTTTCTTGATTTTTATTGATTTAATTTTTAACACTAGTGATTTGTTGAACAATTTTTTGGCACTCAACAAGTCAATCTGTGATTTTGCTATTACATAACAATAATAATACAGAGACACAAAACTGGTGTATATATATATATATATATAGATAAATGAATAAAAAGAAGTGAATATCATATCCAAATGCTGGCAAAGGCTTCTTCGAGTGCCCGTTTCTTGCTCATCTCTAAACTAAATCCACCTGCCTTTGCTGCTTTTTCGGCTCGGATTTTCATGGTTTCTTCGTCTTCGTATTCGAGACCAAGCATGTCCGAACCATGCCCAAGAGGCAGAGGTTGTTGGCCCATCCCCATTGGTCGAGGCTGTGCAGCAATTGCAGGTGCATATTGCCCTTGCGCAACACCTGTGGGCCCCGCTTGCGACGACCCTGATGACTGCATCGATGAATTCAGACACCAGTTAAAAAAAAAAAACCGAGCAATTTCAAGAAAATATAACTATGTATATATACATATCATGCAATTTCAAAACCATACGATAAACTCACAAGATCAACAGCTGTCTGTGGGAGTTGACCCTTGCTTGCTGCCAAAGCAGCTGCATATTCCTCAGCCTACTCGAACGAAGAATCATCAGTTAAGCGATGAGAAAAAAAAAATCATTAAAAGTCTACGACGTGGGTTTTGTAGTAACTATTTGTGTGCGAATGGATTGGAAAAGGGAAAGTGGGGAAACCTTGCGAGCTTGAGCAATCATGATTTGTTCGGCATTTTCTCTCTGGTACTGAGCAATTCTTGATTCGATAGCAGGAACATCTATTCCCTCGACTAAATTAACAACTGCAATATAAAGATAGACATTATTTCTTAGATTGAGTGCTGATACGAAAGCGTACCGTTATATATATTATTTAATAGAAGCGATACACTTACTCATGTCCTCGACTTCCTCCAAGTAGTCATTGAAGTCCCTTAAAGATTCGAAATCGTCCACTCTTTTATTATATCTGCAAACACATAAGTTATACATAACGTGATTCAAGTTACAGAAATTCAATAGATTACGCCACCCGACTTTACAACAAAGTGTGACAATATTATTACCAGAAAAGCAATACTTCAAGAAAAACATAGTACAAGACAATTGTTGTCTGTACCGTAAGTATCAACAGTGAGTCCGAGACTATTAGATTATTATGACTTCAATTCTTAGTAAATTTAACAAAATTCATCATGGATCCGAAGAAATTAGAATCGAACTCCGAGCTCCTATTTCCTACTACATTCCGGGTTTTCGGGTTTTCGGAATCAAGTAAAACCCTAGTAAAGGTACCCCTTTGTTAATTATCACACAAAACTCTACATCAATACACCTCCTCATTAATCAAATCAACCTAATTCCTGAGTAATTAGTAAAGTGAAGAAAACAAATCAACATGAATCAATGTGTCCAGTTCAATTGATTTTTAAACAATAAAATTTATAAGAAAACCAATAGAGCTTCAACCTTTACAAATAAAATATAAAAAATCAACGAATGGATACAAATGTAAATTAATACAGAAATACTGTACGTACATGCTGGCAATTCGTTTTCTGATGGCCATCTCCTTGGCGAATACGTTTCCAGAGGCCACCACCATAACTAATTCCCAAATGTCCAGAGAGGTTTATGTTTTCCTTCAAAATTGGAAACACAAAATAAACACAGGCAAACCGCCGCCCGGAGAGACGGAGGAGCCACCGGCGGTGGCGGACTGCGGTGATAGAGGATGGGGAGTGGGGAGTAAAGATGCGGACAACCTATGTAAAGCGAAGATGTGAGATTTACCGAAGTTGAGAGAGAGAGAGAGAGAGAGAGAGGATTTATTAATTGCCTAATCAAATTATTAATATAGTGATTTAATTTAAATAGATTTTACCACCTTAATTAAATATAAAAGAATATATTAATGTTGATATAAGTCCAGGGCTTCATATACATCTTATATGGGCCAAAACTTAGCCCAAAGGATGTAGCCATAGAAGGAAAAGAAAAAAACAAGAATATTTCCTTAAAAATATATTAATAAAATTATTTAAGGTAAATTAGGGCCACACCCTGAGGTAATATTAAATTAAAAAAACTCCCTAATATTTGGGTAATTACAACCACTCTTCAACTATTAATCTTTTTATACATCCACTAGACCACCTTTATGGTGTCAAATTCAACTGAATCTCTTAGATTCAGTGGAATATTCTCTAGTTTGCACTCGTTTGTACAAAAATACAGTTTCTAATGCATCACAATCTGATATTTACAAGTCAAGAGATATAATCATATTGTTTCAAAATGTGGGGTCGGGTGGAGTAAAATGGGCACAAATTGAAGAATATTCAACATAATCTAGAAGATTCCACTAAATTTGACCTCGTAAGAATGAACGTGTAAGCAGATTAATAGTTGAGATGGTAATTGGAATACTTAAAACATAATGATTTTTTTTTTCGTAATTTCACCTCAACTGCGAAGCCGGTTGCAATTTACCCAATTATTTAATTACATGCAATTGTGCAGTACAGTACATAACTAATTTGACAATACAAGTTAAAATATATTCCACTATATTGAACTTGAACAACTACACCAAACTATAATTAGAAATACAAAAAAAACAACAAATAAGATTGGTTGCCTATATACTAAATTATCTCTATTTTTCAAATATGTATGAATGTATTTTATTGTATACTCCATCTTCTTCCATAGGGAGGCTGCCTGTAAATTGAATTAGTCAAACAAACACAAAACAAAAAACACCAGAAGAAATCTTGAGGAAACTCACTCCGATTCATGCAGAAAAGAAGACGAATCTCCCCCATCTCACTTTCGTTTTTCACACTATAATAATGTGAAGAGAGAGAGAGAGAGAGAGAGAGAGAGACGAAAATTAGGAGCAATTTTTCAGGAAAAAAATTAAAAAAAGTCTTACTTGGGCTGCAATTATGCAACTGAAATTGAAATCGGCGAACACATTGGTGATCGCATTCATGTTGGGCTTCGCACTGATCATCTTCTTCTTAACAACGAGCTTTCTCGAATTCCCATCGCCCAGTTCTTCAAACCCTTCAGCCGACGAAATCTTTCTCTTTTCAACCCTTTCGAGATCCGCCGAACCAGAGCCCTTCAAGGATTTGCTCAAAGCATTCAATAAATGGGATTCTCAAATCGGCTGTTCTCAATTTAGGGCAAAACACACAGAATCGTTGGCGAACGGGTCAAAGATCTCATCTTTGCAGGATGTTGGGGGTGCAATCCAGTGCGGCGAGTTGCAGATGAACCACGTGAGTGTTCTGGTCAAAGGGTGGACTTGGATCCCTGATAATTTGGATAATTTGTATAGCTGTAGATGTGGGTTGAGCTGTTTGTGGACTAAATCTCCTGTTCTTGCTGATAAACCTGATGCCCTCTTGTTTGAAACTACAACTCCACCATTTCAGGTAAACTCACACAGTCTATGATTCAGTTGTACTCTCTGTTATGATACTTGTACGTTGAGCTACTAGCTCTATATTCTTTGAATTTACTGCAAAATCTGCAAAATTTACTTGGGGATTTGGGGTTGGAATTAAAGATGAACCCTAGCTCAGAAATTACACAATTTCTAGTTCCTGTTTTCTTGATTTGTTGCTACAAATATGTGTTTGACAGAAGAGGGCAATGTGTGGCTAGTTCAATGATTTTTCCTATTGCATTATATATCCTTCGTCAAATTTTCATTCGCTCACGTTCGGTATTGTTTTTATCTTTTGCAAGCGGCGAACTGGCGATCCTCTTCGTGTGTATATGGATCTTGAAGCAGGCAGGAAAAAATCATTCCGCGAAGATATTTTCATCAGCTATCACGCTGAAGATGATGTCCAATCAACTTACGCTGGAGCTCTCTTTCATAACAATCGAAACTATCGTTTATCTCCCATCAAGAACAATGTTAGTGCTCTTCATTTAAACCCGACATTATCGTTTTCTCTCGATTTTTTCTTGAAATTTGATTACGATTTTGTACATTGAAGGATACTTTGGTTTATTGGTCCTCGTCACGCTGTCTACCTCAAAGAAACGAGCTGGCAAAGAAGCTACTAAGCTTATTACCTCATCACTCGTTCGGCAAGTGCATGAACAATGTTGGAGGCCTAGATAGAGCACTCTCGTTTTACCCCGAGTGTGAAAAGAATGTTAAAGAAGCACCGAAATGGTGGGACCATCTTCACTGTGCCATGTCACACTACAAGTTTGTCCTTGCAATTGAAAACACTGTGACCGAGAGTTACGTGACAGAGAAGCTCTTTTACGCCCTCGATTCTGGGGCGGTTCCTATTTATTTTGGTGCACCGAACGTTTGGGATTTTGTGCCGCCTCATTCGATAATAGACGGAACACAGTTCAGTTCAATGATACAGCTGGCTTCTTACATAAAGTCTTTAGCCAATGACCCTGTCGCTTATGCTGAGTACCATGCGTGGAGGAGATGCGGTGTGTTGGGTGATTACGGCAAGACCCGTTTAGCTAGTATAGATACGTTGCCTTGCAGGCTTTGTGAAGCTGTTAGCAGAAGAAACGGGAGAAACGCAGAAGCTTTGTAACTATCGAAAAATTAAAATTCCCATTTTTGTGTCGTTTATATTGTTAGACACTGTAGAATGACTTTTCACATACAAATTAGTCTTTTATATAGAGGGTTGTTATTTTCCAAATCATTAACAAAATCTTGACGCTGCCACTGCGAATTGAGTTATGAAGGAAATTTCGATAACGATCAAATAACATAGTAGACCAAGGGAGAAATATAGGGGCAAAACTTTCATAAGTTAACTAAACAATACAGTTTACACAGTACAATAATCACAGCACAGAAGCCTACAAATTCTAACTAAACTCCTTAGAAAGTAGATCATGCAAATGCATACTAAAGGCGAAAAAATTGACAATAATGATTACATGGGCAGTGTGCATTTCTTCTGAGAATGTCCGAGCATATGGCAGCGACCGCACTGAACTACCCTTTTCGGGCGTTTCAAACTTTCCATTCGAAGAACTTTCTTCTTGGGCCTTCCTGGAGGTCTACGAGTTTTGGGGGGCCGGATTGTAATTTCCACTTTTGCACCACCACCCTCAATGCCCTCTCCATTCTCCTTCCACATACTTTTATCGGGTATAGAATATATCATCTGCGAGTAAGTTTCGCGGTAGCTGTGGACAGTGAAGCAATGCTCGGCAAACAAATGAGCGTTTTGCCCACAAGAGATAAGTGCAGCTGCAGCATGTGCACATGGCAGCCCGTAGAGCTGCCACCGCCTGCACGAGCAGACACGTGTACTTATGTCAACAATGTTCGTCCGTTCAGTCGAGACAATCTCAAATTCGACCTCGTTCGCACGGAGTACTTTATAACAGTGCGAATCTGATATAGCTTCCGCAATCCGTTTTTCAGCAGACGGTACTAGAATTGAAGTCAACCTCATTCCTAGGTTTCTACGATCGTTAAACCACGAACTCAACTGATGGCGAATATGCTCCACCATTTGTACGATAGGGAGCTCGTGGCATTCCAATGCCCAGTTGTACAACAGCTCCGTGACAGTCAATGTGAAATGACCGTACCGTACCCCTTCAAAGTATGCCAAGGCCCAGAGCTGGGGGTTGAAATGGTGAAACCAAGGCAAGACATCCTCCGAAATCTGCACCATCTCGGAGATTTTGCTTTCGAACTCGGCCGTTGTGAGGGCATAAACAGCGTTCCAGAATATGTTCACCAGCTTCGAGTTCTTGAAAGTGTCCCGAAAGTTCTCGCTTATATACCGCAGGCAAAAACCATGAAATGCATTCGGAAAGTGCGTCTCGACAGCTTCTGCCATACCCATTGTTCTCTCGGAAAGTATTGTGAGTCTCGGCATAGCGTCGGTGTTCACTCCAAGAAGCTTCCGTAGCTCCGACATGAACCACATCCAGTTCTCATCACTCTCCACATCGACGATAGCTACTGCTAACGGAAATAGCGCATCATCGGCATCAATTGCAGCTGCACAAAACAATGTACCTAGGTACTTCCCTTTGAGGTTAACTCTGTCCAGTTCCAAAAGTGGGCGACAGGCATTTATGAATCCGTAAATCGCAGCACGAAAAGACACAAATAGCCTCTGAAACGAATTCTCCTGTCCAGTGGCAACAATTGAGGCAATGCTGCCTGGATTAGTCTTTTTTATCTGTTCGCAATAAGCAGGAAGAAGCTTAAAACCTTCCTCGTAAGTCCCGTGTAGAGCAGCCATACTACGTTCTTTTCCCCGCCATGCCTGCATATAAGAGACAGCGACTCCATGTTGATCTCGTATATCTTGCAAAATCTCCTTTGGCTTATACTGTGGATTATCCCTTACACGAGCTTCCACAGATCGAGCAACCCAACCGACCGATGCTTGTTGATGGTGAAGATTTTGAACACCTTCGCACGTGTGCTCTGCATGGAGGGTTCTGACAGTAAATGTGGGAACTCCAGGGCATTTTGCCACGTGGACCCGCCACGGACAACCATCTTTCGAACACTTGGCTATAAACCTACTCCTATCGGATTTCACTATCCGAATCTCGAAATGCAAAGCTATGGCTATGTCTTTCAATGTCCTTCTACAAGTATCGACGTCAGGAAACTCCTGCCCGATCGAAAGTGTGTGGCTAACTAAAGAAAGACCCTCGTCCACGCCAGAATCGGGAAACACATTTTCAGCCAATTGGACAGCCAAAGTAACAGTTGCATCCACATTCGCATTGGGTGCCGTGGATGAATCATGTTCAGCCATTTGCATCATTCCTTTAAGCTTACACCGAAACTCACGCCATCAGCACTTCCTCTTCAAATCGAAATACTCCACTCGAAAAATTCCATTTTCCAGAAATTCACAACAAATTTCAGAATAAGCTAGAAATCCCAAGTAGCTATCTACAAACAAACAAAAAAAAACAATCAAAATAAGATTCACACAACATACATTAATAATGCCCATATACGATTCTACTAAAATCAACAATCAAAAATAAGCTCACAATCAATACTAACTAATCGAATGATTAAATTAATAAATTCTGGCAACTTCGGGTCGGGTCGGGTACGATAGCCGTCAACGGCGAAAATATAGTGGAAAGAGTAGCCAAGTTACCTCGTAAAGGAACGGAATTTCGTGAGATCTGAAGTTCGAACTATACAGATGCGTATGTATGTATCTGTATCTATCTGTATGTATCTACGGAATATACATATATATAAATGATTACAGAGAGAGAGAGGTGAAGGTGTAAAATCTGGAGGTGTTGAGGGGCAAATTTGAGGAAAGAAAAATTTATTATAATTTTGGTGCGAATTGTTTTGGGGCTATTTTGCCCTAATTGAACTGGATTTCTGCCCAAACGATATACACGGTGGAGAAAATAAATAGGTGTAGAGGATGCTGTAAACAGTTGAAATGACAGATATAGCCTTAGGTATTGCGCTATTTTCTTCGGATGGTATGAGCTTATTTATGTATATGGTGAAATTGAGGGGTTTAAAATCTAAATAATGAAAATTGAGGGGTAAATAATGAAACTTATCCAAACATATAGAATATTTCAACCCAAGGATTGTAATCGGGCTCCCTCAAAGCCCGGACCCGTTTAGCCGGCCCATCTATGAACCGCATTCTCCTTTCACTTTCTTATGTGGCCCAGCCCATATATGTGTAGACTGAAGAGTCCAAGAGGGTGTTTGGCGAAACTTATAAGTTGCTAAAAAAAGTTTAAAATATTTAAGAACTTATAAGTTCTTTCAAAATGTTTGGTATTTTTTTTAAAAAAAATCTTAATTTTATTTTTAAATAAGTTGTTGCAGAGTAAATAAGATTTAAAAAAAATACATTTACCCCTGCCTTTTTATTTAAAATTTTATAATAAATAAAAATAACTTATCAACTCTTAAAACAATTTATCAGTTATTAAATAAGCTTACCGAACGGTCCAAATTTTGAATATGGGTATAATTTAATCACTATTAATGGTATGGAATCAATTTATGGATTAATTCATTTAATAAATGCGATAATAAAATAAGGGGAAATATGCAATACCCCCTTCATATGGAAAATATTTTGAACTAAACCCAATTGACTTTAAAGACTTTTGCCTACACCCAAATCCCATTTTAAATTAGTGAGACCCCCCTGAATTAGTGTGAGAAGACAAAAATACCCTCAAATACTATAACCCTAAATTTTAATTATTTGCCTCTCAACTTTCATCTCTATCACTTTCATCTTCTCCACATCTCCACCAAAACATCTCAACTCTCTCTCCAAAAAATTCGAGCTTTCCCTACCTTCGCCGCCGCCGCCACCGTTGTTGCCGCCGGTGCTGCCGCCACTGCCTCCTCTTTCTCTCCACCTAAATCTCTCTCTCTTGTTCGTAATCTCCCTCTCGATTTCTGTCTTTTTTTTTTGCCGGATTTGTACACCACTACCACAGTAGCCACCTTCCTCACTTACTCTTTCATTCACCCCCGGCGTCGTCGCCAGCCCCTCCCAGGCTTTCGTTATCTTCGATTTTTTATTTTTATTTTTTTTATTTTTATTTTCATTCTAGATCTGAAGCAATAACTTAATTTTTTAATTTTAATTTTTTTTTTTTTGATAAAAGAAAATTTTTCTGATTATTTGATTAATGTTTTCTCCCTTAATTTTGTTCTTAGGGAAAGGACTTTCTTGAAATCAACCACCCATCGGAATCCCTTTGGAACGAAGGTTGGTGTTATATTTTATGAATTTTGTTTGATATCTCATTATGTTTAGTTTCTTGAGTTTTTTCTTGTTGCTCGTAAAGAAAGAAAGACAGAAAATGAACCTTCATTAGTCCAAAAGAAGAGCGTATATATTGCATAGCTTATTACTTTATATAAAGTAGGCACTGTTAATACGTGTATTGGAACTAATTAGATTATGTAGACAATATGGAATCTTACTCAATGGTGTTCTTTGTGCCTTAAAACTAGACTTAGCAAACATTATGTATGATATTGATTTCTCAAGTTGTGTTTTGTTATCTATGTTTGTATATGTGCACTTATGTATGTGCTTTGAAAATTGTTCCATCCTGCACCTTTTAATGTATATAGTGTTGTTCTATGTTCCCGTTCTTCAGAGAAGCCGATGCTTGGTCTTTTTGGTTATGTTAAGTAGTGTACTGTAAAAAGTATTAATGTAATGTAATATTTTCTTTTCCTTTCCAGATCTGAAGCAACGGGAGTAAAGTGACTATACTCTGATTTGAATATGACTATTGCTGATTCATTCAATTAGTGATTTATGAATTTGAATCACGAATAATAGAGTTTCTGATGATGAAGAGTGGTTCCGATCAATTTTCACGAATTCAAAGTAGGAAAATGTCATTCCCTATTACTCATGAAGCTACAGAGAATATGACTATTGTTGAATATGACTATAGTCATATTCGAATATAACTATAGTCATATTCGACTATGTTCTTCTCGTTTCTCACCCCAATTGCAAATCCTTCTATCTTCTCGAATATGACTATAGTCATATTCGACTATGTTCCTCTCGTTTCTCACCCCAATTGCAAATCCTTCTATATTCGACTATGTTCCTCTCGTTCTTCGAATATGACTATTGTTGAATATGATTGTAGTCATATTCGAATATGTTCTATATTCTCGTTTCAAGTTGACTTGTAATAACAAGATTTAAATTGTGGTTTTTTGTTTTTTTTGTGTGGATGTTGATTGCATTGTTTCCCTAAACAATAGAGAATCTTAGTTTTTTTTATATAATTTGGTAAACATGACTTTACCGCACTATATAATCAGAATTTTGAAGTTAAAAATTTAAAAAAGTGCAATATAAAGAAAGAATATGACTACAGTTGATATAGTCACATGTAGTCATATTAGACTATATTCGTATTCAACTATAGTCATATTCGGCGTAGTACATTTGTCGGGGGAAAAAAAATCAATTTTTCGTTTAAAAAAATTTAAGAAAATATGCCTATAGTCATATTCAACTATAGTCATATTCGGCGTAGTAAACTTGTCGGGAAAAAAAATCAAATTTTCGTTTAAAAGAATTTAAGAAAATATTAAAAAAATATGAAAAATAAAAAATAATTAAAAAAAAAAAAAAAACTTCATCTGCACGTGAGTTTTGATTTTGTATGTGAAGAAGCAATTTTTTTTTTTATTTGTTGCTGATTTTATGGAGCATATTTAGCTGATTTTTTATTTTTTTTAATTAGTTGGCTATTTTAAGGAATTGGAATATTGAGTTGGAAAAAAATTGCTATTATTTTGGCTTTATTTAAGGAAAGCGGACGTGCATTATTGTGGTTAGGAGATTTTCTAATTTCAAAGGGTAATATTGGAATGAATATTTATAGGGGTTTATCACAAAGAAAGATTTAAGGGTTGGACATATCACTATTTATTACTCATCCAAGGGGTGTATTGCTAAAGACCCCATAAAATAAATAAGAATTATTATAGGGGTGTAATTAATGACCATACAGATTGGACAATAATGTGTGGATCCGACAGTCGTAATCGAAAGAATAAATGGATGTTGGATCTGAATTTAATGAACTTATCATTAAAATAAATAAATAATTAAAAAAAATCCACTTCTCTTATCCTATTACTTATTTTCTTTATTGTTTTACACAATTTTTATTTTTATTTTTCACAATATATTAGTTACCTACTTTTTATATTTTTATTTAATTAAATTACTTTTGAAAATTCATTGACACGTACTAGATTGTTTAGTCATAACTAGCTTATGTTTTAAGTTTAAATTGATGTTGTCGGTGTTAGGCGAGCGAACAACCGAATGAAAAGAGCTTAAACCGAATTTGGGAATATTATCGTGATAATATTAAATTTTTGATAATCTTCATTCGGTGTAACTTTCATCCTGTGTAATATTGAAATAATAGTAAATATTTCGACAAAACGACTAAAAGGGTATTTTCGTAATTATATTAAAATCGTAAATATTGTATTAACATCTCTAATTACCATATTAATCAGATTCAGGGACAAAAGATTTGCAAGAAAAGATTCTTTCTTGAAACCTCGTTACAATTCCATGAGTTATAGACATTTCTTATTTTATATAAGAAAAAATTCAATCTTAATCTTCTAGAAGAATGATGCATATCAAAAAAAATTTAGACACCGTTATCTTAATGAATTAAAGAATACATCAAAATCAGACTTTTGCTAGTCTTAACCTATTCCATTGTACTTGTGTAGCATCATCATATGATGAATATTGCGATTACAATTTATTAATTATATATTAATATATGATAAAATAAAATAAAATAAAATTGTGTCACGTCAAATAAGTGGTAGGCCTTGAGTTGTGTACCACCAATAATTGGGGGTTCCACTATTTATAACATTTTGTGCTATTTTCATTTTAACCTTTTCTACAATAGGTCCACTATAGTCTATAGTCAATACAACCCGTGAAGCACCAAAATAAAATGAAAAGAAAAGGGTAAAAGTTATAGTTTTGACCCCTCAAGTTTTCACTTATTCAACATTTAGTCCTCTATGTTCAGAAAAAAAACACATTTGGTCCCGTATGTTTCAATATTCTAACCGTTAATTTACCGTTAGTTCGTCAGTTAAGGCACCGATGGGCACACATTTGATTCCGTTAGTTTTAACAGAAATTTGCCGAAATGGACTAAAAATGTTAAATTAATGAAACATGAAGGACGAAAATGTTTTTTTATGAACATGGAGGACCAAATGTTTAATAATTGCAAACTTGAGGGATCAAAACTGTATTTGTAAAAAAAAAATGTAAGAGAAATTAGAAAGAAAAATGAAAAGAATTGGATCATTTGAAATTTGAATGCATATAGTGTGAAGATAATTAAACATGTGGGACATGACTAATGATATATCACTACTCCTAAATTTTTGTAGTATTATCTAATCCGTCCTATCAATTACTAACTAATTAATCAATCAAAGTGAAAAGAGTGGCACTCATCAAGTGATTTGCTTTTTGGATATGCAATCAAGATTTTTCTTAAAAGAATTAATTTAACTATGTTGTGTTGACGCCAGCGACTATGATTATTTGAACACGAAGACGAAGTCAGTGAAAAACGAGGGAGTCAATTGAGAATTTGATAAAAATAGAGTTTTTTCTGAATTTTTTGAAATTGCAGTTTGGTCCTAAACATTTAGATTATTGATAATTAAATCAAATTGAGTTTATTTTTATTTATAAGAGAATATTTATGTCATTTCAGAAGTAACATCGAAAAAATACTCACACAAATACCGAGTGAAACACACGATCTGCTTATAAAGGCGATGTTGGATTTGATTAAAAAATATGGTTCCAAATGCTAATATTTTTAAAACGAGTATTCTTTAACAAATATACCTATCACATCTGTGCCGCTTGCAAAAAAACTCATATGTAGGATGAAATGGCACGATCACGTGCCTCCACGTGCTGTTTCCGTCCAAGCTAACTCCAAAATCAAACTTTCCAATCTGAAAGTGTAAAAAAATCGATTATACGAGGACCAATTTCGTGGTAGAAAAAATTAAGGACTAAAATCGAGAAAGATGTATAATATAGGTACCAAAACTATAATTTTCCCAACTATGTGTAATAACGATATTGTTTGGGCATGATTTGCCATTTACCTAATATAAAGGGGCAAAATTGCAAGTAAGAAAAAGTACTTTTTGTCATATGTTTGTGCACCATAATAAACACACAGTGATCTCAGATATTGTTAATCAGTTACACAGTGAATACGTAATTAAAAAATATACACACACACACATATATATATATATATATATATCTATATATTATATTATATACACATAAAATATATATGCATGAATACACAGACACACACAGTACACATAGCTTCCTTATCTTGTATTTGGTGGCCTCCTTTAAATTTTGTCCTTTCTCTAATCGTTTAGCTCCACTTACCTTTCACATTCCCATTCAGTCCAAAAATAATTTTATTTATTAATTTCCCAACAAACTTTTCTTCTCTCTTCTTCCTCCTCTATTTTAATGGCGAACCTCTGATTTTCCATTTTTTTTCCCAGAATCATTTCTTAGGATTCTTGCTGCTGTAAAGATAAAAGAAGCTGCTGCAGCAGCAGCTGCATGGTTATTATACAGAATCATTTCTTCAGGTAATTAATTGGCTTTTGATTATCTTCTTGTTTTATGTTTGCATGTTTCTTGTGTGTGTGTGTGTGTGTGTGTGTGAGAGAGAGAGTCTTGATTTATATCTATCTGGTAATTAGAGTGTTGAAGCAATAGTGATTAGTTGCACACCATCCATTTGAATCTTTGCTTCAAAGAGAAATTATATATCTTGATTAGTTGTACTCCCACCACTAACCACAATTTGACACCTAAAACATTCTATTAGCATTTTGTTTAACATGCTACTACAAAAGTTCATTGCTTTTATCAGACACAAGTACATTTGGAAATTAAAAAAACAAAAAAACAAAAAAGGGCTTATAATTCTTGCAATATAATATAATAAAATAATAATCTACATTTAATTAATTTGACCTCATTTATTTGGTGCAGAGTATTAGTCTGCTACTGTTTGTATTGGTCTACACCTGCTGTACCCACCAAGAAAATGGCAATAATGCACTTCCAGCCTGGACTTAATTTATTTCCCCTCTCTGAAAACTAGTCTATTCTTGCCCTCACTTTCATCGATATTGTTTTTTTGTACCCCCCCAAAAAAAAAGTTTTTTTTTTTTGGGCAAAAATGGCCATGAAATCAAAATCCATTTCCCTCCAAATTCTCACCATTTTCTTGATCTTTTTATCTGCTTCCAATTTATGCACATGCTTAAATCCAGAAACACAAGCCTTGCTAGATTTCAAAACACACCTCATTGATCCATTGAACTACTTAGAATCTTGGAAAGAATCATCAGATTCTCCATGCCAATTCTATGGAGTTTCATGTGATCAAGAAACCGGTTTCGTGACCGAAATTTCGCTCGACAACAAATCCCTATCAGGGGTGTTGTCGTCATCTCTCTCCATGCTTCAAAACCTCACTTCTCTATCGCTGCCATCAAACACGATTTCCGGAAGCCTTCCGATCGAGCTCACCAAGTGCCGAAACCTCAAAGTCTTGAATTTCTCCGACAACTATTTAAACGGCAGTATTCCGAATCTGTCCTCACTGACCAACTTGGAGAAACTCGATTTATCGGATAATAACTTATCAGGGAAATTCCCGAGTTGGGTTGTGAGTTTGACACGTTTGGTTGCGTTAGGCCTCGGGGATAACAATTATGACGAGGGCGAGATTCCTAAAGATATTGGGGATTTAAAGAGCTTGTATTGGCTCTATCTAGCTGGTTCGAACTTGAGAGGCGAAATTCCCGAGTCTATATTTGAGCTGGAGGCATTAGGTACATTGGATATATGCAAGAACAAAATTTCTGGAAGATTCCCAGAGTCGATAAGCAAGCTGAGGAATCTGTTCAAGATCGAGCTTTATAATAACAATTTAACCGGCGAAATTCCAGCTGGACTTGCAAATGTGACTCTTCTTGAGGAGTTCGACATATCAGCAAACCAAATGCATGGCAAAATCCCTTTTGAGATTGGCGATTTGAAGAAACTAACTGTTTTTCACGTGTTCAATAACAATTTCTCTGGAGAAATTCCATCAAAGTTTGGTGAAATGCAGAATCTCCAAGCCTTTTCTATATATAGAAACAGCTTTACAGGGGTATTTCCCGAAAATCTCGGCCGTTTTTCGCCACTAAACGGTATCGACATATCCGAGAATAAATTCTCCGGGCCATTCCCAAAATACCTCTGCCAAAATGGGAATCTGCAGAATTTGCTCGCACTGGAGAACAAGTTTTCGGGGGTATTTCCGGAAACTTACGCTAGATGCAGTCCTCTTCAAAGGCTGAGGGTCAATCTAAACCAGCTCGAAGGTGAAATTCCAGATGGAGTGTGGGCCCTACCTAATGTCTCTGTCATGGATTTTAGTGATAATTATTTCACTGGAGGGATAACGAAAGGCATCGAGGCTTCTCTGCAGTTGAACGAGCTAATACTGTCGAACAATAGGTTTTCGGGCGAGCTGCCTAAAGAAATTGGAAAGCTCACTCAACTGGAGAGAATATACTTGAACAACAACAGATTCTCCGGGAATATTCCTTCGGAGATCGGCGATTTGAAGCAGATAACATCTCTGCATTTCGAAGCAAATGCCTTCACTGGATCAATACCTTCGGAATTGGCTGGCTGTCCTAGAATGGCGGACTTAAATCTCGCTTCGAATTTACTAAGTGGTGGCATTCCAAGTAGTTTCTCGAAGATGGCCTCGTTGAACTCGTTGAATCTTTCGAGAAACAGACTCACTGGACCAATTCCAAGAAGTTTCGATAAGATGAAGCTGTCTTTGGTAGATTTGTCGGATAATGCTCTCTCAGGTAGCATTCCACCTTATTTTCTTACGGTGGCGGGCGATAAAGCACTTTTCGGAAACAAAGGTCTTTGCATCGATGAAAAAGAAAGCAGCGGAAAGTTTATCAATTCAGAGTTGGGTTTTTGTGACGAGAAAAACGGGCACCGAAATTTTATTAAAAGTAAACTAGTAATGCTGTGTGTGATCTTGCTTGCATTGGCTATTTTACTAGGCGGATTATTGCTCGTGAGTTATAAGAATTTCAAGAAAGGTGAATCAGAAAAGGAAATCGAAGAGGGCAATGGGGTAGATCCAAAGTGGAAGCTTGAGAGTTTCCAGCATATCGAATTAGATGTGGATGAAATATGCAACACGGACGAGGATAACTTGATCGGTAGTGGAAGCACCGGAAAAGTCTACAGGCTAGACTTGAAGAAGGGCTGCGGTGGCGGCACAGTGGCGGTGAAGCAGCTGTGGAGGGGTAACGGGGTGAAACTCATGGCGGCAGAAATGGATATTCTGGGAAGCATTAGGCACAGAAATATACTGAAGCTGTACGCTTGCCTTACGAAAGGAGGTTCGAATTTCTTGGTTTTCGAGTACATGACAAACGGGAATCTTTTTCAGGCACTTCACAGAGAAATTAAGGCTGGGAAACCGGAACTGGATTGGTTCCAACGGTACAGAATCGCCCTCGGCGCAGCTAAAGGAATAGCTTACTTACACCACGATTGCTGCCCAGTTATTATCCACCGAGACATAAAATCGACAAATATATTACTCGATGAGGATTATGAAGCCAAAATCGCTGATTTTGGTGTTGCGAAAATGGCGGATCAAGTTTCTCCCAGAGGGTCTGAGTTCAGTTCTTTTGCAGGCACTCATGGCTATATAGCACCTGGTTAGTCAAGATTCAAGAACCTTTTTAGGCTAATTCTTGATTCTTTTTTCTTTTTTTACTTTTGACTAATTCTTGATTTCCTCGAATATGCAGAGATGGCGTATTCGCTGAAAATAACTGAGAAAAGCGACGTGTATAGTTTCGGGGTGGTGCTATTGGAGCTGGTGACGGGAAAAAGGCCGGTGGAGGATGGTTACGGAGAAGGGAAGGACATTGTTTATTGGGTTTCGACTCATTTAAACGAGAGGGAAAACGTGATCAAAGTTCTCGATCAAAAAGTGGTTACCGACTTAATTCGAGATGACATGATAAAGGTGTTGAAGATCGCCACTCTCTGCGCAGCTAAGCTTCCGAATTTGAGGCCGAGCATGAAAGAAGTGGTGAAAATGCTTGTTGATGCTGAGCCCTGCAGTTACAAGTCTCCAAACAATTACCAGAAGAATGACAAGGCTTATCTCTCAGTTTAACTATGTGTAAGATAGTTTGTCTGTGTTCTTGGTATTTGAGGTACTAGGTAAAAATATAAGTGCCTTGTTATATTTATCAAAAAGTGTAATAGGTGTGTGTTATAAGAAAGAGTAAAACAATTATAATATGTATAAATGTGATTTAAAGAAGGATAATTATATTATTATTACAGTCAAGTCAAAGTATCAAGAAAGCATTACCATGTCAAAGTTCTCTAGAGCAAAGACTGTGTGTAGTGAAACTTGACAGAAGTTTTACAAAGAATTTTGGCTGTGATCACTGTTTCAAATCATGACTTATGACTACTAATTAAGCTTTATTTTCTATTTTTTTTCTTTAAAAAAATAACACAAATACCCTTTTTATAATTTAATTGTATTTTTTTTTGTTTTTCATAATTTAATAATATTTTAAAGAGACTAACAGAAGAACAAACATTATTTTAATAATATCTAAAATACCTTTTTTTTTATTTGCTAGTTGCTACCTTTTAAATACTTGTATTTTCATTTAAAAAAAATGATTTTTCCACTTTCTTGATGAAGAGCCTTCTTCTATTTGACCACGCGTCCACGCGCCACTTCTTCTTCTTCTTCCTCATCAAATTACTCCCCCTCACTAATGGGACTTGGTCTTTGGTCCTAATCACACTCTGTCAGAACCGCGTAATTTCCTTTTCTTTGATTCTTTCTCAAATCCCATCTCCCTTAAAAACTGTCCTAAATTCATCACACAAATTATTTAGTACAATCATCAAAGAATCAATAATTATTTCTTCTTCTTCTTTCATAACCACCATGAAAACACATTCTTGCAGCAGAAAATTTCCATGGCTATCCAGTCTGTAAATTCTACCCTTTTTGCCCTTCTCATCATTTCAATTTTCCCATTCACCCACTCACTTTCGACCGTTGCAATATCTGAAACTGGCAACCAAACCCTAGTGTGTGCAATAACACATTCTGCTGCCAATAACCAGACACCATCTTCTTTCCTTAACTGCACAGGTTATCCTCAAAGAATTCAAATTCCACTCAATCCTCAACTGAATTCAGTTTCTGGGGTTGTGGGTGGAAATGGTTTCATCTGTGCATTAACCTCGTCCCACCCTTCTTCCACCTCTGTCATGGTTTGCTGGAGATTTTCAGACATTAACAGCAACATGACTTACACAAGACTCTATAAAGGTCCAATCTTGACAGATTTAGCCTCCGGGAACTCTCGAATTTGCGGTCTAGTCAACAGCTCCACCTCCCTCCAATGCTGGCCATGGAAAGATTCCAACTTTACTGATGCTGCTGCTAATACTTTCTCATCAAGTCTCGCCGTCGGGGAGAATTCGTTGTGCGGGTTGTCCGAATTCGGACAAGTCCGATGTTTCGGAAGTGACAGAAATGTCACTGATTTTGTGCCTGATGGAAGATTCAGTCTGGTTGAAGCGGGTTTTCGACATGCCTGTGCTATTTCAACCAATGGCAGTTTGGATTGTTGGGGAAATATGGAAGGTGAAAGGCCACAGGGTGAGTTCACATCACTTGCATTGGGTGAAAATCGAAGTTGCGCGATCAGGCGGATTAACGGGACTGTAATTTGCTGGGGAGAAAACGGATTCGATTTGCCTCAATTGTTGAGGAACGAGTCTTTTATTTCCATCAAAGCAAAAAGAAGGGTTTTCTGTGGGGTGGAAACTTCGAATTTTACACTGTTTTGCTGGGGAAATGAGGGTTTCGATTCGAATCCGAAAGTGCTCGATGATGTAATCCCAGGTCCTTGTAGAAGTAGAGAAAAGTGTGCTTGTGGTCCTTTACCGAATTCCGGTGGATATTGTGATCAGGGACTAATGATATGTGAAAATTGTCCGGCCCATTCGCCAAGTCTACCACCACCGCCGCCACAATCACCACCACCGCCAGCACCACCATCTTCAGCAACCATTAGTGGTGGTGGCAAGAAATGGAGTAGTAAAATGGTGGCCTTTGTGGTGGTCGGTTCCGTTGGATCCTTCTCATTCTTATTAGCCCTGTCTATATTCTTGTTTTTGCGGTACATCAAAATCCGAGGAAGCAGAATCCACGATTCGGGCAGGTTGGAAGAGGGGGGCCCACCCCCATCTCAATCGAACAGTCGCCAAGCATCTGCGTCTCAACCAATCCCACCACCATTGCTTAGGAAGCTCAGCCATTTAATCAGCATGGGAAATGGGGGCCACTTAGAGGAGTTCCCTTTAGAAAAATTACTGAAAGCCACAGAGAACTTCTCAGAGGAGAACAAAATCGGCAATGGCAGCTTCGGATCGGTCTACCTCGCCACCCTGGACGACGGCCGCAAGGTGGCGGTCAAACGAGCCGAAAATTCCTCCACCTCATCCTATGTGGGCCCCACCAAACGGGGTGGCCAAGAGGAAAAAGACCTCGCCTTCGCAAACGAGCTCGAGTTTCTGTCTAGGCTAAACCACAAGAACCTCGTTCGGTTATTGGGCTACTGCGAAGACTCAAATGAGCTTATCCTGGTTTACGAGTACTTGGAAAACGGGACCCTCTTTGACCACCTCCACAAGAATCTCGATAACTCCCCATTGTCATCCTGGCCAATGAGAATCAAGCTGGCACTGGATGCAGCAAGAGGGATAGAGTACCTCCACGAGTACGCGGTGCCACATGTCATTCACAGAGACATCAAGTCATCCAATGTATTGATCGACTCCACGTGGACCGCCAGGGTGGCGGACTTCGGGCTTTCTTTGATGGGCCCGCACGAGGAGGAGGGACATCTGTCACTGCGTGCTGCGGGGACCATGGGGTACATGGACCCAGAGTACTACAGGCTGCAGATACTTACAACTAAGAGCGACGTGTATAGTTTCGGAATAGTGCTGCTCGAGTTGCTTTCGGGTCTTAGGGCAATTCACAAGAACGAGAATGGTGTACCGAGGAATGTGGTGGACTACGTTGTACCGTATATAGTTAAGGATGATATTCATAGGGTTTTAGACACGCGGGTCCCGCCTCCGACTCCGTTTGAAATCGAGGCGGTGGCTTATGTAGGGTATTTGGCGGCGGACTGTGTGAGTTTAGAGGGGAAAGATAGGCCTTCAATGAGTGAAGTTGTGAATAGCTTGGATAGAGCATTGGTAGCCTGTTTGGCGCCACCTGTCTTGTCTAGATCCACCACTGCCTCGTCAGCATCATTGTAATAAACTTTAACAGAGGAAGAACTCACAAAAGATTAAAGTTCCATTTATACAGAGGAGCACATTTTGTACATACAATTGAGCCACAAAAGGGATCAGATTCTTGAATTTTTTTAACTTTTACTTCAATTTTTTGTTCAATTGATTCTAATTTCTAAGACAGATTTTGTTGTTCTTTATTACAGCTACAAAAGTCAGAAGCTAAGACTAAGAAATTTAGAAATTATCAAGTCAAAGTGGGGGTGTGGGGTTCTTGACCAGGGGTGGATTTTTATGACCTTTTCTTTGTGTTATAAAACATCAAATTGCAGAGAAAATATGAACATAAAAAGGACCACGTGCAGTTTTCTTGAATAAAAAATCATGGACAACTGAGGCAATCATTCAGACCTAACTGATTCAACAAACGTGGACAAAAAGGAAATATTGGAAACATAGGATAAAACTGGTAATAGACGATAATATCCCAAACGTGATTTTTTCGTAAAATTGCATATCGTCGCCAATTACTAGTGCCGTAAATGGACAAAGAATAAATTTTTACAATTGATAAATTCCAACAAGGTGAAATGCAGCAATGGAGCTAAGTCAGAAAGATTCTGTATCTATACATGAAAACCCTTCTTTGTTCTCTCTCCAAGAATCACGACAATTGACAACTGAAACCGAAATTTCATGAAATAAATCGATATAATTCTGATTTAATCCTCTATATATTTGTTTACCTCCCTCTTTGTAGTAATCTTCGTGAGGTTTCCCATTTCTGCTTATCTCAGAATTTCCGAGAGGAGATTGTTTTACGCAGCCACTGGACCCAATGCAGCCACTTTTTTCTCAAGTAACTCTGACAATATACTGTCGATTTGTGAAAATACCTCCAGTTTGGGTTGACTTCCATCTAACTGAAAAATCAAAAGGAAAATAAGTGATTGACCAAAATATTTCGATGGTCACAAGTTTGTGTCTTGGTCACTTTTCTTGAATTTCTTTTATATGAAGGAAATTTTCAAGACGAAAATTATATGTTACATACTTTGACTGTAATGTCTCCGTACATTGAAAGCACATCCTCTACATTACTGTTATGAGTGACCAACCGCAGTTTAACCTGAAAACAATCGAAGCATAAACATGTAAAACGATATATGAGTTAATAAACAAAAAATAATTTACTTTTTCATAAAAGAGAAGAATAAACGAAGCATGCCTTTTCTTCAGTGTCGTCAAAGCGTTGAGTAAGTCTTGCAGCAATTTCTTCAGTTTCTGGAGGAGAATATTTAAGATGGTATATTTTCCCCGTAACAGGATCTAGTCTACGGCCCACAACTCTCTCAACGAGGATCTCTTCAGGTACCTGTTAAAACAAAAAATAACCTATTACATACATATTCACATAAAATTCTTAATAATTTCATCATAGATAAATAGGAAAAAAAAATCATTATTTTTCAAGACTCACTTCAAGAAGAATGAAGATATCGGGATCAAACCCGAAACTCTTGAGAGCAGTAGCTTGGGATTGACTCCTTGGATACCCGTCCAGAAGCCACCCCTTCTCCTCAGAATCTTGCTGCGATAAACGATCTTTCACCATCTACAAACAAAGAGCGATTTGTGATTTTTTGTTTACCTCTAAATTTTAGGATTTTTATTTCCGTACTATTGTGAGAGGAATATTGAAGATAATATATACGAAACGGATACCATGACAACTATTTCATTTGGGACAAGCTGCCCCTTTTCCATGAATTCCTTTGCTCGCTTCCCATTTTCTGTACCAGAGGCAACTTCAGCCCTCAGAAGATCCCCGGCCGCTACGTGCACCAAATCATACTGAAACGTGAAAATAAACATTAAGTCATGACAAACATATAAACTGATAAAATTCTTCATCAAGAAAATGTAGGTTGTATCTAAATAATATCGTAACTGACATTTTCGGTGCAAATAACTTCTCGACGTGTTTATCTTTTCTAGCATAAAAAGATTACCATCTAATTACCAGTAAAAAAAAAATAACCTTAGTATTATGTCAAGTGTTTCGTTTCAAAGGCAACTATCTAACATTAATCACAAAACCCTATACAGATTTGCTGAGAGCCTGAGACATAACAAAGTATAAATTCTTTTTAATTATTCAAATGAATTACAAACTAACTCGCCACTCGGTCACTCACCGAGTTAATCAATAGTTCAGACCCCAAAAACTGCCATTTCCAGATGAATATTCAATTCCGCATTCACAAATATTACAAAACAATAAAAAAAAAAAAAAAAAAAAGGAAAAATTACCTTCTTAGTGATGAGCTCGCATTGAGTTCCTTTACCAGAAGCAGGAGCTCCTGATATCATTATCCTCAACGGCTCCGCTTTTTCCGCCGACGCAGCCACCTGTTAATCCAAAAACAAAAAATGCAATTTAAAATTCGCCAAAAAAAAATTTAAATTCAAACTTGAAATATTGAAATGGAAAAAAAAAAATTATATTTACCAGCAAACCAGGAGAAGCTTTCGATTTACTGAAACGGTTACGCGATCGATTCCGACTTAAATGAAGAGATAAAAGTGGGAGCTTTGATTGGCACGATGAGAATCTCGAAAGCTGATTGGGTGGGGGAGCTAAGGGCTTGTTTGGATTGAAGGATTGAGCTGTAAAGCTCACCGAATAGCAGCTATACGAAGCCATTTTTCTTTACAATCTTCGTCTAGATTTCTTCGAATTCCACGATCAGTCCTTTAATTTCAGTTTCCTGCTTAAAACTGAATTTTTTTGTCAGCTTCTCTACACAGTGGTTCGATTTGCAGGAGGAGAATCTAGGAATGATGGAGAGTCGTCCACGTTGTGCACGGCCGGGTTGAACCAGATCTTTGCCGGGTTAGGTTACCTCCGGGTCTGGACCGGGTCGGGTCACCACTCGGAGCCTGATTAATTATGTTGGGCTAACTTTCAATTCGTCTCTTTGGACTTCTAATTTGGATCTTAATACAATTGGGCTCGTCACTTATCTTATCATATATTTAATATTTCCAATATTTTTAAATAAAAAAAAAAATTAATAAATTCAGCAGAATGATTTTTTTATTCGAATTCAATTCACAGATCAAAACCTAAGCCCTAAAATCACCAACAATGGCGAGACCGACTCCTGGCAGACAATCAATCGCCTCCTCCTCCACCACGCCGACGGCGGGGACAGCCACCACCACCTTAACCCTCGCGACGGCGTCATCGTCTAATCAACAGCAGCCTCAAATCACGGATTCATTGGTGTTGAAATTGAAGATTCCGAAGAAGAAGGTGTCGTGGAAGAAAGGAACCGTGGACAACGAGCTCATGAATAAAAAGAGCTCGAAGAAATGCTGCATCTTCCACAAAGAAAAGCCTTTTGACGAAGACGACTCCGATGCAGAGGACAACTGCGATCACGATCATCATAGTATCGGAGGCGATCGATGATTAGAAAAAAAAAATCGTGGATTCGATGGAAAACCGCTGCGCTTTTGAGTTGATGATTGATTCGTTATTCATCGTTAATGGAGATTTTATTTAGGCGGGTTTCTTTTGGATTTTGAAGAATGTTGGGAGAATTTGTTTGGGATTTATTTGTTGCAGTCATCAATGGCTTGCTGTCAATATTACTACCTGCAAAATTTGTGAGTTTTGTTCTCTTTGAAATCTCGTTTACGTTACAGAGTAGAATCAAAATCGAAATACGTTTCGTTTGTTGTATGATGATCATATCATTCTAATCATTGTGTAGGTTATTGGAGAACTTTTAATATGATAATTTGGTTTCTGTTTCGAGTTTGATATTGATTACATCTTGTTGGAAATTTTTGGATTCTTTGTTTATATATTGTTTATTGGATGCTCTGTTCATCGAGATCGAGCTTGTGTTGGCCAACCTTGGTCGTTTAATATGTATTCCAATTCCATTAAAAAAATCGAAAAAATTGGAACAGAACTTTCAAAACTCAGAACGAAAAAATCTTTTCTAAAATAAAAAATATTCTGCGAAATTCAAAAACTGACGACGAGATAATGGGGCTGAGACCAATGATATTCTATTTGCACTCCTAGTTTCTTTAATTAAGAAAGTAGCTCTATAAATACCTTTACAACTCTTACATTCAACAATTTTGTGCTCTCCCACCCCACCTTCCCATTATAGAATGATTGAACAATGGTCTTAGTTGGTGGAACTGAGCAAAAGTGCGCCAGTGCGGTGATATTTAACTCGATATTCGAACCGTTTTTCAAATTCTATATTGTAGTTTTATGTTTTATCTCATTTTCTCTACTAACAAAAGTTATGTATACAATACTTTTTAAGCAGAAGTGGGGATGGCACATTCCAAATAATGGTAAGGTATCAACAACCCCCCACCCCTCACCTCACCTACCAACCCCCTCTCTCTCTCTATAAAAAAAAAGAAAATAAATAGAAGAGTACTATAAATGTGATGAAATAGTTGCGAACCAGGAATCAAGAAAGAGTTAAGTGTTTGTAACTAATGGAGAAAAATGAGAGCAAAATACTTATATTTGGAGGGACAGGGTACATTGGAAGTTACATGGTGAAGGCAAGCATCAAATTAGGACATCCGACTTATGTTTTCTCAAGGCCAAACTCCAACAACACTGAAATCCTCGATCAACTCCGATCGATGGGGGCCATTGTAGTACAAGTACGAGCTTACTACGATAATTTATGCGCACTACGTGTCATTTTCTACGATTCGTACTAAATACCGAGCTAATAATGTTCTTGGTAATTATAATTGTTCGTTTATTTTAATGCATGATTTGTAGGGAATATTGGACGATCATGAGAAGCTTGTTTCGATTCTTAAGGAAGTTGATGTGGTGATCTCTGTGTTACCGTACCCTCAAGTTCTTGACCAGCTCAAAATCGTGGATGCCATCAAAGTTGCTGGTAACATTAAGGTACTTTCATCAAGACTTAAATCTAAAAAGTGTTGTACTATAATCACGAAACAAATATTTAATATTTCGTTAATGTGCCTGTCGTTAGAGATTTTTGCCATCGGATTTTGGGGTCGAAGAGGATAGGGTGAGCCCATTGCCACCCTTTGAAGCATTTCTGGAGAAGAAGAGGAAAATAAGGCGTGCCATCGAAGCAGCAAATATCCCGTACACTTTTGTCTCTGCAAATTGCTTTGGTGCTTACTTTGTCAACTATTTGCTCCGCCCTTTTGACCATAATCAAGAAATCACCGTTTACGGCACCGGTGAAGCTAAGGGTACAAACAAACTAAACTTCTTGACCGTTTCTATTTTTCACAATTTTCTTTTTCAGCGGAAACTATTAATGATTCTCATCATGTTCCGTTTTTCTGTTTCTGTATTAAATAGCTCTGCTGAACTATGAAGAAGACATTGGTATTTTCACTCTCAAAGTGGCGACGGATCCAAGAACAGAAAACCGTGTGGTGATATACAGGCCACCTGGCAATGTAATAACACAGCTTGAGTTGATTTCTATGTGGGAGAAGAAAACCGGGAAAACTTTCGAAAGGGTTCATATCCCAGAAGAAGAAATCGTGACCCTTTCACAAAGTAAGTATTGAACCACACACAGTGATCGTGTTGTCCAAAAAAATAAAAGATTAAAAAAATAACTGATTCTTGATTTATTGCAGCTCTGCCAGATCCTCAGAATATACCGGTTTCCATACTTCACAGTGTGTTCATAAAAGGAGCGACGACGAACTTTGATCTTGGGGAAGATGACATTGAGGCTTCATCACTATATCCGGACTTGAAATGGACCACCATTGATGAACTTCTCGATATTTTCCTGCAAAATCCGCCAAAATCTGCTAATGCAGCATTTGAATAATTGTTTTTGTTTTCGAGAAAAAATAAAAAAGTCGTCTTCGATTTGATTTGCTTCAACTGTTTTGTGTGCTAAGTACGGGACAATGCATCCAATTAGATTTGCCAAGAACTCTTGCTTTTTATGTCAATTGTACCGTAATGACTGTATTAAGAATATCTGTTCCTTTACAGTTCAGAAATTCATAAACATCTACAGCAAATTATGTTTTAATTTTTTAATTTATAATTGTTTAAATAATATAATAAACATAAATAGATAAACTATTATGTAAATTATGAGTATCAGTGTGTTATTATTGAAATATTTAAAATTAATCGATAGAGTTGAATTCCAATCCACATTAAAAGAAATAATCTTTTCTATAATAGAACTTCAAATGTTTACTTTCTTCGAAGTTTTCGAAATCCCAAAATTTTCAAAACTTTTCGAATTGTAATTGACTAATTGGATTTTATTTTGTACTTTTGGAATAAAAATGATTTTTTTTCAGTAATGAAAGAATCCGCAACTAAAAGGTATAAGTGCATTGGGTAGCTCTCGTATAATAACTTTCAATCCATACGAAAGAGAAAATCTTGTTATATAATATTTTCCCCTGTTACTACATTTATTATTCTTTTCTTTTATATTTTCCCCACACAATTTCAATTATATAAACCCTAATTTCAAAATCGAACCTTTGCCCCGATCAGTTTCCGACCTTTTTTGCTGCCAATTATTTCTATTCGCTTTATATATTTGATACAACCACGTTGTAATTTTACTATATTTATTTATTCATGTGTTGTTTTGAGCCATGATTTCTTCTTCTCGCGTAGCTTTCTCACTGGTAATTCTATCTGCTGCAATTGCTGTTTTCTCTAAATTACCAAAAAACCCTCTTCCCAAGAAAAAGAAGCCATCTTCGCAATGCATCGTCAAAGAAGAGCCATCTTCTCAATGCATCGTCAAAGAAGAGCAATCTTCGCAATGCATCGTCAAAAAAGAACCATCTTCCCAATGTATGATCAACTAATTCTTTTTATTTTTTTTTCTGTATTTTGCAATGCTTAATTTTTTGAAATTAATTATTTATTTATTTTTTATTTTATTTTTTTCTAGGTTCTGTAGAGAACAAGGACATGATTAGTGAACTACCAGACGATATTTTGATTTTGATTATCTCATATATGCCTGTAAAATGTGGTATTAGGACAAGCATTTTGTCGAACAGGTGGAAGAATCTTTACAGATATTTGTCCAATGTCAAGCTCAACTGTGGCGACCTTTTGAGTCGCCACCTTCTAGAAGCACGTTCCGATCACAACTCTAGTTTAATAGTTTATTCGCTAAATAGGTTCTTGAAGCTTCGATCCGGTTCCGAGATCCTTTCATTCCGTTTATCTTGTTGTTTGTCACGTTACCAGTTCATCGATTTAATTTCCTCTTTAGGAGGATTAGGCGTTCGGACACTCGATCTAATCTGTTTGTCTCATTGCAGTACAAACACTTGTTTTTTCCCTTTCGAGTTTCTTTCGGAAATACCCTCTTTGAGATATTTCAGATTGAGCTCTTGCATTTTGCAGCAGCCAACCTTGGAAAGCGAATTCCGATTCAATTCCATCCAAATTCTTTCGCTTTCTTATGTTGTGGTATGTGATGGTGCTGTGGAGTTCATTTTGTCCAATTGTTTGAGTCTGCACTCGTTGAGAATCGTTAATTGCGATTGTCCTTCGAAGCTGTGCTTTAGTGGGCCCGGTCTACGGTTGAAGTCTCTCTATATCTTCGGTTGTGGAGATTTAGAGGAGATAGAGTTCTATGCAGACAATCTCGTCTTGTTCGAGTTTTTCAATCATGTGCTTGTTAACTTTGTTTTCAAGCACGCCCCTCGACTGGAGAGTGTATTTCTTGATGTGTTTAATGAAAATGTTACGCCTTTTGTCTTTGGGAAACTCGCAAAAGATTTGCCGAACCTGAAATCATTGACTTTTACTAAAGATCATTATTTTAAGGTTCGATAAGCAATTTAGCATCCTCCTTTTTTTTCATTTTTTTTACACGTTGTGCTATATGAGTTTCTTGATTCTTAGGGGAGCATCGAATCTATGGAGACTGACATGTTCAGCAAACTTAGGCGACTAAATCTCAGCCTAATTTCCGGACCAAGAATTGATCTTTTTACGCTGATTCCATTTCTGAAAAATTGTCCCCTCCTCGAGGAATTTATCTTGAATGTAAGAGCCTTGCAATACAATTTGTTTAATTCGATCTATTTCTTCGTAAACACTTAAAGATGCCCGTCGGTTCAATTGTTTGTATTGTAGATCAACTTTCTGGAAAATGAAGGACCAGAAGAGAAAATGCAGGCTGTGACATTACATTCGGAGCTGAAGAAAGTGGAAATCAGTGGATTTGTTGGGGCGGAAAATGAAATTGAATTTGCGTTGTATATCCTCAAAAGTGCAGTTGGCTTAGAGAAATTGGTGATAAGTAAATGCTTAAGTATATACATGGGAACTATCAATTGCAGGACCCGATCGGAAAACCGATGGAGTGAAGAAACGCATGAAATGATTTGCCGAAGATTAAAAGGACAAGCTATTTCCGAGACTGCGCAAGTCATTACTCAATATGCTGCGCATTTTCAAGATAAGTGGGTAGTAGAAGATGATGTTAAGGTTTTTCTTTGATTCTATATTATTATTATTATTATTATTATTATTAGTAAACACAATTTTTGTTTTATTTCTGGTTCTGTTCTAATTGGCTGTGCTGAATAATGAAGAAGATGTCGGTATTTTCACTATCAAAGTGGCATCCGATCCAAGAACAGAAAAACGTGAGGTGATTTTGTATTCATTCCTCTGGTTTTTTATCGGAAAAAAACACGAAATTATCATCGATAAGCGTTCCTAGAAGTATATTCCAGGTTTGAATAACATTGTAAAATAATTCAAAACAGGGCAGAAAACTCAAAAAAAAAATGTATTTATCGTAGAATGTGAGGAAGATCCTCCCATGAAGAAAGCGTGTTTCGATGAGGAATATAAAGGTTGTCTATCGAATCAAACCACAATTCTCCACCACTCGAATACACCATCTCCATTCCACCATTGTCGAAGCTGTAAACATACAAGTCATTCTCACGACTTTCAAACACCAACCCTTTCCCGTTTCTTGCGCCACAAATCGGGAAACGGTTAAGAAATTCAAAATCCAGGCCGATTGTGTACTTCTTTATCCAATTCAATCTCGACCCACCATCTTCATTCGTCAAAATCCACACGTGCAGTACATCAAGCCGTGAGTGAGTTACATATCCAAGATTTCCCCCAATCTCTACTAGCTTGTCCATCGTTTTTCTGCAGTCGGGTAGTTTCATGGAGACGAATTTCTCGTTCGTCAAACTCATGGAGATAAAATCATCACAAACTACTTTTGGAGGCATCCAATACAACGATCCATTAACCGACACTGGAATTTGCCTGATGTTGCTAAATAACTCCGACGGTGGCCCCTCCGATTTTCTCGACCATTTTCTTGTACTAATGTTCAGAATCTCGCAGCCAATTAATTGCCTCGATTTCTCGCGAAACAAGTGCACCACTTTGTATGTTTTCGCCTCCTTACAAAAGGCAAGATCAAATGATTCGTCGTAAAAGTTACCTTCTGTGCCCAATGGAAGCTTGATATGCTTTCTCGAAACAGGGTTCATGAGGAACAAGCTCTTGCAATCGCTTCTCATGGTGGCCAAAACCAATCCATTATAGCTAGCTCGAACGTCAACCAACTCGACTACACTCGATTCTGTAAAAGTATTGCCCCCACGATCCAAATTAAAGAAATGGAAATAAGATTTCGGTTTATGAAATGTAGGTTCAGAAAGGGTTAGTTTTCGACATATTAGAACTGTTTCGGATTGCAGAGCATGGCTTTCCCTGAAATTCGGGCTGTTGATCAAACCGAACCATTTCTTGCACAGAAACTGCAACCTGAAAAGGGATTCAGCCGGGACTAAAACGAAGATCATGAAGAGCGTATCGTATTCTATACTCACCTCCGACATTCCAAAATCTTGCGACGATGTTTCTTCTTCCTTAGTATCGCCATATTTTTTTCTCTCAAGAAATTGATCGAGCAGTTGGCGGCGCCTTTCGGCTCCGGCGTTCTTACGCACTTCATATCTTATCTGGAGGCTTCGTTGCTGCCGCACTTGGGAGAATCTATGGACATGTATTCTCTCAAGAAATCCAGCTTCATCATTCGACATTCGAAGAAAGTGAAGAAGCAACCTTACACAAATTATAAGTG